GGGAGTCTGCATGGACCTGTGTGAATGTGTGTGCACATGTCTGGGTGCTGTGGGGTTACAGAGCAGAGTTAGAACTTTGCAGGATTTTAGTAAGATTTTCTAAATGACTAGTGTTGTATCATCAATGCTGAGCATACTGTCCATACTGTCCACCGATTACTTTCGAATTCTGTGTTGTTAACAAATTCCTAAAAATGCTTCGATCCTGAATTTGACTTACAGTTTTACTTAGGTGAATGGAGAGGTTTTTATTCTGCAAAAAACATAAATCTGACAGAAGGGTGCATGATACCCCCAGCTCTCATTGCCCCTCTTGGGGCACACAGCACAGGACCTGAAGGGATGCTGGCAGCAGCTCACATATACAAGTTAATTGCCTGCAAACACATCTACTGATGAAAGGGTTCGATTTACCAGGAAACCTTGCAACTAAAAAAAACAGGAGAGAAGGCAAGACAGAAAGCAGAAATAAGCAAGCCATTAGGAGCCAGAAAAGGAGGAGGTTATGGAGCAGATAATCTTCAGAGCCATTATGCAGCATGTGCAGGACAATCAGGTAATCGGGCCCAGTCAGCATGGGTTCATGAAAGGCAGGTCCTGCTTGACAAACCTGATCCCCTTCTATGACATGGTGACCCATTCAGTAGCTGAAGGAAAGGCTGTGAATGTCATTTATCTGAACCTTTGTAAAGCCTTCAACACTGTTTCCTGCCACATTCTCCTGGAGAAACTGGCTACATATGGCTTAGACTGGCGTACTCGTTGCTGGGTAAAAAACTGGCTGGATGGCTGGACACAGAGTTGTGGTGAATGGGGTTAAAACCAGCCAGGTACTGGTCACAAATGGTATTCCCCGGGGCTCAGCATTGGGGCCAGTTTGGTGTAGTATCTTTATCAATGATCTGGATGAGGGGATCAAGTGCACCCTCAGCAAGTTTGAAGATGACACCAAACTGCATGGAAGTGTTGATCTGCTTGAGGGTAGGAAGGCTCTACAGAGGGACCTGGACCAGCTGGATCAATGGGCTAAGGCCAATTGTATAAGGTTCAACGAGGCCAAGTTTTGGGTCTTGCACACAGGTCTCAACAACCGCAGGCAAATCTACACGCTTGGGGCAGAGGGGCTGGAAAGCTGTCCAGAGGGAAAGGACCTGTGATTACTGGTTGACAGCCAACTGAGTATGAGCCAGCAGTGTGCCCAGGTGTCCAAGAAGGCCAACTGCATCCTGGCTTGTATGAGGAATACTGTGGCCAGCAGGACTAGAAGTGATTGACCTCCCGCACTCGGTACTGGCGAGGCCACACCTCAAAAATTGTGTTCAGTTTTGGGCCTCTCACTACAAGGACACTGATGTGCTGGAGTGAGTCCCCAGAAGGGGGACTAAAGCCAGTGAAGGGTCTAGAGCACAGGTCTTACAAGGAGCTTCTGAGGGAACTGGGGTTGTTTAGCCTGGAGAAAAGGAGGCTAAGGGCAGACCTTAGCACTCTATAGAAGTTGTAGCCAGGTGTGAGTTGGTCTCTTCTCTCTAGTAACAAGTGATAGGTTGAGAGGATATGGTCTCAAGTTGCACCAGAGGAGGTTTAGATTGGATATTAGAAGAAAATTCTTCATTCAAAGGGTTATTATACCCTGGAATACATTGCCAAGAGAGGTGGCTAATCACCATTCCTAGAGGAGCTAAAAGACATGCAGATGTGGCACTCAGGAATAGGGTTTAACACTGGAATTGGTAGAGTCAGATTAGTCGTTGGACTCTACGATCTTAAGGGTCTTGTCCAATCAGAACGACTCTGTGATTCTGTGAGATCTGAGATGTTCCTGAAGGAAGGTGCGATGGAGAACGCCAGGATGAGTAACACCATGGAGGAGGATGCACAGCAGAGCTGCTGAAACTGGCACTCAAAGAACCATGAGCAAGACAGGAGGGAGTGGAAAAAGAGGAAAAATAGAAAAAGAAGGGGCTACAGAAGAGGAGGTACTGATTTCTTGTGCTGGAGGGAAAAGGGAATTCAAACAGAACATGAAGAAAGAAGTATTTGTTTGGACTTCCTAGAAAAGCAGCAGCCAGGAGGACAGTTTTGCCTGAGAGAGAGGAAGGTGGTATGTATGGTTCCTAGGATGCACCAGGGGAAGTAGAAAGGCAGCTGAGCAAAATGTCTGAAGGCAGGATTAGAAGGATGATGGTGGCCTGAGGAGGTTTTGCAGTAAAATGAAAAAAAAATTAAAAAAAATGGTTCTAGTCAAACCTGGAAAGAAGAGGAAAATTCAGCATCAGGAAAATAAAACTGAGAATAACAGGGAAAATAACATTTCTCTATATTCTGTTTCTTGCATTTTTTCCCTAAGTGCCTGTATCTATAAAAAGAGAGGTCTGAACTTTAGGTTTACATAATTGTCATTAATTTTAGAGTCACAGAATCACAGAATCATTGAGGCTGGAAAAGACCTGAGATCATGAAATCCAACCTATGACCTAACACCACCACATCAGCTAGACTATGGCATGAAGTACTACATCCAGTCCTTCCTTGAAGACCTCCAGGGATGATGACTCCACCACTTCCCTGGGCAGTCCCATTCCAATGCCTAATCAACCTTTCTGTGAGGAAGTGCTTCCTAATATCCCACCTAAACTCTCCCTGGTGCAGCTTCAGGCCAGAATTGAAAGTACCTCAGGAAGTTTGTTCAGGGAAGTGCCTAAGTTTCATTTGAGTGTAAAGGACATGGATACAGGCTAATGTAAAATATAATTTCAAGTGTTTCCTAACCATAGCCTTGGATCATCAACCTAGTCTCTGATTTAGCCTCAAAAAGTAAGGAACACAGATATTATGGGACAAATGCTCTTGGTATTATCTGTGGATTGACTTTGTTTCAGTGTGTGTGTTTTGTTCTTCTGGAAAATAATCAGTGTTCATGTAACAGTTGAAATTTGTGACTCTAGATGATTTTGAACCTGGGTTTCTTCTTCATCTGGTACAGGATTAGCAACCGATTCCATCTGACAGCAATGTCCTCCCAGCACCTGTGTACACTTATTTCTTGTTTTCAACATGCAAAGCTGACCACTTAAGGAAGTCAAGTCTACACACATATGAAATTTATTTAAGCAGTTAATTTATGTAATATCATGACATTTTATTACTGAGAGTGTTTTAAATTAAAGGCAGAAAAATGCACTCCTGCAATAGATGACAAAAGGTGACTACCTCGAGTGGATTGTTGCCCATTATTCTTCTATTGCATTTATCCAAATTAACATGAACATTTATATCAAAAGCATTAGTGATAGGAAAACAGGTAAAACTGATGAGAAAAAAAAAATACAGAATGTTTAATCCTCTCCTTTTCTTTAGCTGTACATTAATAGGTGCTTCAGGGCTGGTTAATGATCTCTGCCAATAATAGCACAAAGGTGATACTGCCAGAGCAGCTAAGGAGGCCCAGAGCTCATGGGCTGAAACCCCTATGGCACATTAAATTCTGGAATTTTGTTGATGAAACTGGAGTAGTGAAAGTTTCAGTTTTACAATACCAGGAGGTGTTTCCTATACAGCAGACTACCACCAGAGCCAACTGGCACCTTTGAAAATAAAAGAAATGGGAAAAATTCTGGATGAGCTCAAGGTCAGGTGTGGCTCAAAGCTCCAAAACCAAAGTAGAGAATAACATTTCCCTTTTTTTTTTCCCCTCAGACAACGTGGTGAAAAGTTCTTCTTTGCTTTCACTCATAATTTCTTGACATAATGGCACAAAGTCCTAAAACTACATCACAGTATCAAGTGCAATAAACCCAGATGAGCTGTGAGCTTGCTTCCTATGCCCAAGCGTGCCCAAGAAGGGACAGTCTGCTCTCAGGTACTGAGGGAATGGGAGGATAATCAAAGATTTATGGACAAAAGGATGCTACTAAACGTCACAATGACCCATCACTGTAGTCCTGTAGAATAATACACAGCTGCCAGTATACCAAAAACAGACATGAGAGTTACAGAAAAAAGGTCTTTCAGTTGCACAGACTTGTTCATTATGCAACTAGGTACATAAGAGATGTTGTAAGATGTATTACTAAATACCCTGCAGTCTCATAAGCCCTAAAGTAAGGTTATCTATCTGAACCTTCCCTTTCCGCCTCAAGCAATACCTCATTTCAGGGGAAAATTAGCCATATTTTATTCACTCACATGCGATGAACCTTGAAATTAGTCTCTCTCATTCCTTTCCTCATGTTTTCATCTCTGTCACTAATGCCTTCTTTATAGAGCTATGCTTTTCCAAAGTATCTGGGCACATCTGTTTTCTCTTTTCATCCTCCACCCATCATGTCACCATCTCTAACAAGTTTTTGCTCCTCCAGTAACTGTTATGTTCCCACTTTTTCTTGCTCTCCAGCTTCCCTTTCTGTGTTCTTTGGACACCTCTCCAAGAATGTATCTGTCCTTCTGGCGTGTGCTTTCTTCTTTCCTTCACACCTCCATATGCCTCTTGGGTCCTGTGTCTGCAAAACTCATTCCAAACATATCCACTCCATGTGGCTTCCTTCCCTTCTGCTGTTTAATCTGGAAGAAGAAACCTATTTCAAAGTATTGCACTACCACTCCTCAAGCTTAATAAAATCTACCTCTCTGCATCTGCTACTGCTCTTTGGTCCAAAAGCCTTTCCTTCTCACACTTCTACAGCTCAAAAGTTCATCTATGATGTCTTAAATAGTATCAGTATTCCACTGTCCTTTTTTTTCAGTTTCTGGGAAGGATTTATTCCTCTCAGGACAAAACTTGCCACAGATTCCCTGAGCTTTTAACACCACTGCTGTCTCCAGCAATTTTAAAAATATCTGGGATAAGACTTCTGATACTACTGGGATTAACTTTTGTGTGTCTTTTCAGCAAAGGACCCTGTAAGTCTCTAAGATAACAATCTCACAACTTTGCTGCATTTTTTCTCATACAAGAGCAGTTTTAAATATGCCAGAGATGCACAAAACTGGCTCCATCTTACCTTTCACGTGGCTTCTCCCATCCTCCAACAGTGGTACTACTATAGTGTTGTTCATATTCCCAGGTGATCTCACAGCTGTATAGACAACGGGTACCGACTGTACCACCACGGGGATTCGGTGCACATGACTCATTTTGTTGGACTGCAAGTTCATGGGGCTTGAAGGTGGTACAGGATGGATAATGTGCAAAAACTGCTGGCCTCCAACACCAGATGCAGAGGCCACAAGAGGACCTGGAGTTAATACTGACGGTACAGATGCTGCTGAGGATACCGATGTTATTACTGTGGGTGATGAAGCCGGACGACTAGAAGAAGAAGAAGTAGAAGTAGAAGAAGGTGAGGAGGCTGATGCTGTCATGGAAACCGGTGAAGATGAAGCTGCTGTAGGGGATGACCTGGCTTTGTTTATTGACAAGTCCACTGGTTCAGTCTGTGTTTGGAAATGGTCTGTAGATAATGAATCCTCCGTGGGGTCTGCCTTCATGTTATTTAGTAACAAGGGTACAGATTCCATATCTGGGTAGTTGTGGACGTTTGGAGACTGTTGAAGAAGGACAAAAGTACATAATTAAATATGTGACACGTACACCCAATTGCTAACACACACATCACAAAGCTTGGTCCTGAAAGCCAGAGTATTCCTGTTTCTTAAATGACAAACCATGCTAAAAACTCCTGACATGTTCAGTTTGAACAAAGCATTAAAAAATAGTCCTACTGCCATTTCTTAGAAGGTGACAGGATTAACTGTACTAAATCACCCTGTTTCTTTGCACTCCTCATAGTCTTCAATGACAAATACTTTTAAAGATTTCCAGAAGTAGCCAATATTTATATTGATGGAATGCTTTCTTCCTAATATCTAACCTTAAGCTACAGCATTACTCTCTTCTGTCATCTCCAATGGACATGAAGAATCATTGGGCACCACCGTTTCTCAAACAACTTTATATACAGTCTTCAAGCATGCAGAATGTCCCCCTACTTGTATACCTTGGCAGACCTTGCTTCTTCTGACCTAAGACACATTTAGAATAACAAGCCTTAGCCCTCTTGTTTGCCCTTTGCAGCCATGTTTGCAGTTTTGCCCACACCACTTTTCAGGTGGTGCTAAACAGTCCTTCAGTTTAATGTTTGACTTTTTGCACTCTGCATGGTTACTGGTAATGAGCTTAGAGGTCAGTCCACAGCCCCACATTTGTATGACTGTCCCATTGTCCTGGTTTGAGCCAGGATGAAGCCAATTTTTCTTTACAGGCAGCAATAGCTACAGCTGTTAGTTACTCTGAATCAGTACATTAGACAGCCTTCCCCGTTGTTATAATTTTAATTTTGTTATTTTTTGCATACTAATTAAGAACAATTTTCTTGACTTCACAAAATAATGTTATGCTTTAGACCACCTCTTTCAAAGTTCATTGGTCTAAATTTACCCTAGACTGGTGCCATCTGCTATTTTTCTAGTTTTATTCCTTATTTCCATCATCAAAGAGGCTAACAGAATTTCTACATAATGCTAGGCCAAAGAGAAGCTCATCTGATATATCATTCCTTTTTGACAGCACATCATTAGTAACTACATCATTAATAACTACTGGTTAAAAATTTTTGTTCAAGTAATTTTCAATAGACAGAGAAGGAAGTGGTGGAGGCATCATCCCTGGAGCTGTTCAAAAAAGGGGCAGACATGGTGTTTCATAAGATGGTTTAGTGGTTAGGGGCTGCAGGATGGATGGTTTGACTTGATGATCTTGAAGTTCTTTTCCAACATTGATGATTCTATGATTCTATGAAGGAAATGCCCATTGATAACTTGGTAGTAAAACAAAGCACAGCTCACAGCTCCTCAGCTAAGTACCTCCACGGCCTTGCACAACAGCAGAGCTTCACTACAGGCACACACTCATCATTTTGTGCTGTTGTATGGAAAAGCAACATCAATTAAAAAAACTCCAACATTTAACAAGCTACTTCAAACCTCACTTGACCCAAACCTGTTATTCCATATACTGATCTAACAAGCAGTCTTTTTATGGTACTTAAGCAGCTCTAAATGCATTCTCTCTATCTCTAGATTGTAGAATTTACCAAGTACCTACAAAGACTAAGTTAGAAATATTTAAGCTACAAATATTTTAGTTCATCTTCTCTGAACAATCTAACAATCAAGCAAGCTGTGAATTCACTTTGGGATTTTTATAGTCAACTATGTTAAATATTTTCATGGAGAACCCTCCTGGTTTTGAGTCAGAGCCAAATTTCATCACAGAATGGAGTTTTGTTGCAGAAGGGAAATAGAGAGACTAGTACTAAAAACTGTAATAATAACAGCCTAAGTGGTTATTATCCCTGGCATGCTGGAAGACGAGATGGTTCTAGTAGATCCCATCTATTCAGCTGATTTAGACTGGTTCTTGGATCTGACATTTTCTCCCATTTGAAAGCAAGAACATCTATGGAACAGCCAGTCTCTTCCTCTATTCATACACATATCAACCTAAAACAAAGGGATCACAATTCATCCAGCCCCTTGACCCTGCTGTTCTGCTGTAATACAAGTAACAAAAGAAAAAATCCCTTCATAAAGACAATGGGAAGTTCTCATGCTAAAAAGAACATGAAATGAAGGTCATTTTTCAAAGCACTAAGCAGCTACCAGTGATAAGGTCAAGAAAACCTCTTCCACAAGAAGGTAAAACTGCCTGTAATTGCACAGTGATGATTCCTGGTGACTTCCTCTGAAACACCTCATCCAGGCTACTACCAATACTGAATGAGATTCTGTATTAGGCACACTGTGTATGCACAGAGACAAAGCACAGAGACAAAACCATAAACATAAATGGTACAAATTGTTCATTTGTCAAATTCTAACAAGTCTGATACATGCCATGGGCAAACAGATTGGTTCTGCTGAACTAAACATATTGGTGGCAGAGAGAAGGCAAGCCCAAGAGGGACACCCTGCACAGGCTCTACCCAAATCTTCCTAAGGCCAAAGGAAACATCTTCTGTCTGACAGAAGGGGGATAAATGGGAACAACTCATGTACAAAGGCCCTGTGTTCATGGCTGGGAAAGGGTCATCTAGAAGCAGCAGGAACTGCCAGCTACATCGACAGTGGAGATAAAAACAGAGGAAATCCTACATGTTGACACACTTCCAGACTTACCCTGGGTGCCACAGGCAGATTTCAGGTTGACCCAACACGGCCTGCTTCAGCAGCACAACTTGTTACTCTGTGAGATCGAGAATGGACTATCCTGCTGTCGCAGTCCCTGAGAAATCTGAGGGCATCAGGGAGCTGATGTACCCAGCACATACAGATTAGACTGCCCCCAGGAGTCTTTGGACTTCTGGGATATTTCTGAGACTGGACACAGGGGCGATCCATACAAACTTCAAAAACAGTCCATCACAAATGGAGCACAGTCTGTCCCAAAGTACCACACGTCTTTGCAGCAAGCACCATGAGAACCCTTACAAAGTGCTTGTTCTGTGGATAGAGTCAATTGTCTCTGAGACAATGCACAGGTCATGACTTAGAGATTCTTCTAGACTGTGCTAAGAACAGGCCTTTGTTTTACTATAGTAATTACACCTAGTCTTTTGGGAATTAAAAAGGAAAAAAATATCATGTAACTGCAGTCTATAACACAAACCACCTTCTCTTTTAATAGCTCTTCTGCATTCACTTTTGTACTGTACATTCCTTATATTGCATCTACCTTTCCGTAGGCAGCCTCTTCTTGTCCAGAGCTGCTGGAGGAGCCATCCAGTCTCTATGTACCATGGTAATACAGTTGGCATGATTATTTCAGTCTTTAATAGCAAAACTGAATTAAAAATCTTTACAATCCCTTCATTAATTTCTCCAAACAGGATGAAAACTGATAAGCCCTTCAGTGATCTCCTTTCCCTGCCAAAACTCTTAGAATGTCCTTTCTTTGGTAAATCCAGACTGTGACTGATGTCACTCGACATTACAAAGGACAGCAGGATCCTTATCAAAACAGGTTTGTATATCCCATACTTAAGATTAGAAATGCAAACAATAAGTGTTCTATTTTGTTCTGGTGGTGTTGAACAAAGAGATCTACCCCATCAACTAAAAATACCTCACAGTGACCTACAAGTGGTAAAAATGTTTCTCCATTATTTCAGATTTTATCTAAGCTGCCAAAGTTCTATTTAAAATGTATTTGAATGAAAACTTTGAACATTCAAATATCATTGTTTTCTGAAAATGGATGGTATGTGCAAACCTTCCCCAGTGATGATGAGAATTCCAGAATTAGTAACTACATGACAAAGAGTAGTAACGAAGCCAAAAGGGATGGCTGATTCTTAGCACGCTACTTCTTAGCATCTCCCCAGAATGTTACCAACCAAGAATTAACTGTTCATTTCCCTAGCTGATGAGTGTTGACGTTAATTTTATTTAACAGAACCTTTCTAATTGAAAGTATCACAATACTAAGGCTGGGATATCCAGAGCTACACCTTCACCCATTCTGTCAGCTCACAAAGTCAATTAGGTGAAAAACAAAAGGTTGTGTGTTTTTTCTCCTGTCTCTCTATTCCTGACTTTCCAACCTCATCAAGTAAACTGGGCTTCCTGTGGTCGTGTGGGCTCAGATTATTTCTAGTCTGGGTATCTGAAACAGGTTTTCTCCATCTGGATCCCAACAGTGTCTGTGTTGGTTTTGCAAACTTTGCTTTGGTTTTAGGGGTCTAGACTCTGTTGTTAAGAGTTTGGCAGCTTCAAGAGCATTTGGTGGGCAAGGAAGGGTTCAGCTGGAGGTCCCTGTAATTCAGTGGGCTGCCTTGGATGCCAGCCTAGACCACGGGAATGCAACATGACGGGGTACAGTTCCACTATGGCTTCCCTCATCTCACTGGCTGCTGGTACAAAGGAGAAGGACAGCTTCAGCTCTGCCTCTGGCTGGGACACAGAGGTAAATATCAGCAATACCTCTCTCTGCAACACCACCATCACAGCCTTATGCTGTTTACCATCCACTCAAATCCAGACTGAAACAGAACAGGAAGGCACGTTAGGATAGCTCCCTGCTAGAAAAGGCTTTTTATGAAAGCTGCATCCTCTACTAGTCAGTGCTCTTGGCTCTTTCTTTTTTTGTGCCTGCCCTTTAAAGCTGTACACCAATATTCTCTGCAGTGCTCCATTTAATTAGCTTGCCATTCATAAACGCCACAAGGAACACAACACGTGACTTCCCTATTCAAAAAGCTTTCTTTTGGCTGTGTAAGAAAACATTCCTTACTGCCTGTTTCCCTGACCCTTACAGAGAAACGACCAGCCAGCCACACAACTGGCCACAAGACCCTCAGAAAAGCACGGTGAACTCATAGTTGATCTTATCTGCTGGCTGGCCATCCTTTCCTGCACAGCCCTACTTCATTGTCCTTCCAGCCCCCTGAACTCCACCTCCTCTTAATTTATGGTAAAATTTGCTACAGATCCTTTCCACTCTCTTATTCTACTCATGGCAATCTTCTCTGCATACCAGCACTGTCTCC